AGGGAATCTGTGTGTATGTGCATATAAATGCACAGGTGTGTGCATATGTTCATGTGGCTGCATAGGTGTATATAGGTGTGTATGCACATATGTATTGGAGGCTAAAGACAACTTTTGCTTATTTTGAGACAGGGTTTCTCATTGAAGGTTGCGAAAGTGACTAACCACTGAGAACCAAAGATCTGCCTATTTTTGCTCCCCTGGTTCTGGGATTATAGGCACACACCACCATATCCAGCTTTTTTAAAAATGGGTTCTCAAGTTCAACATCAGATCCTTATACTAAAGCAAGCACTTGACCAGCTGAGCAGTGTATGCAGCTCAGAATAGAGATTCTTGAAGACACCTTGCCCGCTGTGACTCAGTACTCAGAGCTCTTCATCCTTATTTCTCATCTTCTCTATGGGACCAAGAAACTACCAGAGCATTTTGCCAAAGATCACCATGTCTGCTGGTCCACCTCACTCCACAGCACTGTGCCATTTCATGTAGAAAATGAAACAGCACTTTCTCTGCCTTTTGCTTGACTATTTATTTATTTATTTATTTATTTTGGCTTTGACTTTTACTCTTAACATTGCATCTTAATAATACAGCTTTTTAATAATACAACTTTTGAAGGCTTGATCAGAGTACCACCTTAAAGATAATTGTACACCAAATACCTTAGTAAGCAACTTAAAATAACCACCATTAAGTAGACTGCAGGGGTCCAGGACACAGAAGTTGAAGAAATAGCTCACCATCTCTTGCAGTGAGTGATTCAGTTGAGAATTGTTCATCCTAGAGGCAGGCGAATTTCTGAATTCAAGGCCAGCCTGGTCTACAGAGTGAGTTCCAGGACAGCCAGGGCTATACAGAGAAACCCTGTCTCGAAAAGAGAGAGAGAGAGAGAGAGATCGAGAGAGAGAGAGAATTGTTCATCCTTCCTATTGCTAGAGTCTGTGGAACTAGATGTCTATATTCCCAAAGAGTTAGCTCTTCAATTAGGAGACACAAGAAGAGCCCCAGAAATGTGAAGGTACTCTTGTGCTCTGCCATTTTAGGGCCCCCATGCAGAAACCAGCAGTTAAAAGTTTAGAACTACAACACAATTGGTAGAGTGTTCATATGATACCCTGGTTTTGATCTCCAGCACTGAATAAACCATGTATGAAGGTGTATGCCCATAACCTAACATTTAGAGATAAGTCTTCAACTACAAAGGGAATTTCAGGTCAGCCTGAACTACAAGAGACTATCTCATAGCCTTATTGTCTCAGTCATTTTAAAAAATTTTAATATTTAAACTTAAAAAAATTCACCACATGAATAGCCATTACAATAATATATGTAGCCATTTAAAATAATACAGAACGGGACTGGAGAGATTGCTCAGTTCAAGAGTATGTACTATTACACAGGACCAGAATTTGATTTCCAGAATTCACGTCTGGCAGCTAAAAATTACCTGTAATTCCAGGTACAGGGCACCTGAGCTCCCTGGGCACCTTCATTCAAGTGCACACACGCCAACGTGGCCACACATACATACACATAATGAAAACAAAAACTAAGCTTTTTTTTTTTTTTAAACACTGGAGAGGGACATCATGGAAAGCCAAACACATAGTGGAGATGGTACCTATTTAGAGCCCTTCCCCCCACTGATTAACATTTCAGAGTGGAAGAAGATACTCTGTTCACTACCAGAGGAGAAAGGCAACCACTAACCACAAGCTACAGACCTTGTGATCCACAGTGGCTACCTGCCTGCTTTTCATGCTAATGACATGGTGGCACAAACATTCTGGGAGTGAGTAACCAATCACTCTGTGTTTAAAGCCCACTCCATAAGATGGAACCTAGACCTCCTCAGGTAGACTTTAGACTAGATAGGCCATGGGCCTAGAGGAAACCAAGTACTATTCTGTTAAAGGAACATAACAAGTTACTCTTAAGGACATTTATCTATATTCAGATCAAGGTCTTACTCAGCCAACATCAGAGAAGCTTCCTCTTGCAGTAGGTGGAATGTGCAGAGTGAGGTCTTGGAACATTCAGTACTGAATGGATTGTCTTCATCAAGCCCCTCCCTTCAGGGTTCAGGAGGCTATGTGGAAGAAGAGGCCAAAGAACTGTCAGAGCCAGAGGGGATGGATGACATCAAGGAATCATCTCTCAGACACAACAGGATTGATGCACACTAGGATGCAGAGTGTGACAGCATGCATAGGGCCTACACAGGTTCAAGCCAAGAGAGTCCCAGCACTTGCAGGGGAAATTGATACGAGCTCACATCCCAAACCAGGAAGCTGTCTCCAATTGACATCCACTTGCAAAGAAAAATTAGATTTTTACATCTTTTGGATCCTGTGAGAGTCCTCAGGGAAGAGACTTCCAGGTTAGTTTTCCTTTGATTTCTCCAAGTTCTATGTCTAAAGTGTGTGGTGTCTTTGGCAATAGGGTTTTACCTTCAAGCTCTGGGAGGCAACCAAGGACAACTATATTTGGGGGGGGGGATCTTTTGGACTTCCTTGGCCAACAACTTGAAGAGAAGATTTTCATGCTTAAGACTGGAGTTTGTATTAGTTTCTATCTCTTGAAGGGAGTGTAACTGGAATTGGAATAACTTCATAAAATATATCTTCACATGTATACATGTTATAATTTTTCAGTCACCCTTAATGCTCTAGTCTTCCTCCCTCTCTCCCCCTTCCTCTGCCTTGCCTTGCCTCTCTCCCAAAGTAAAAACCCCGCCTCACAGGCTGTCTCCAATTGTCTTCCCTTGCATAGCATTTGTGATCTGTTCTACAACCTCCATGGTTCTTTTTACTTTCCTGGTTCCTGCTGTTACTTCTAACTATGTACACACATCTAAGGATTCAAAACTAGTATCCACAAATGAGACCAGTTGCTCTGGAGTTGGTTTATCTGACTCAGAAAAACATTTCTTTTTTCATTTATTTATTATTTATTTATTTAGGCAGAGTCTCACTTTGTAGCACTAGCTGGACTGGAACTTTATCAAAAGGATAAAAAAGTAACAAAACACACAACACACACACACACTGTGATGGCTAATCTCGGTTGCCAACTTTACTTCAAGAATCAACTAAAACCCAAGCATCTGGGCACACTTGTGAAGGACTTTCTTGATTGCATCATGTGAAATGAGAAGACTCAACCTAAATCTGGATCTTTTGTAATCAGAAGACCCACCCTAAAAGCCCCGGAGTGGTGGTGCACTCCTTTGATCCCAGCACTTGGAAGGCTCTTGAGTTCAAGGCCAGCCTGAACTAAAATCAGGTTCCAGGAGGCCAGGGTTACTACAAATAGAAGTACTGTCTCTAAAAATAAAAAAATTAAAAGGCCCACCCTAAATCTGGGCCACACCTTCTGGTGACAGTGTACCTAAAATGTGGTTTTGCCTGCTTGCCCTCACTCTCACTGGCAAGTTCATCTATCCTACTGCTGAGGCAGCAATTAATGGTATTAGAACTTGTTTCTTCAGGACTCCAACATTTAATGAAGACCTGCTGAGACATCCAGCCCTGTGGACTGAACAACTATCAGATTCTTGGCCTTTTTGTTGGAAGTCAGCCACTGTTGAACTAGCTAGACAACTGCTGTATGCTAAACTTCATAAATCCTCGTGTGTGTGTGTGTGTGTGTGTGTGTGTGTGTGTGTTTTGTTCCTCTAGAAAACCCCAGTATACTCAGACAGTAAAGGCTACATTTGGAGTTACCAAAGAATGGAGGGATTCAAGGCTTCAAGTCTTCAACATCTTTGAGTAAGATAATACCTTCAATTGCAGATCTCTATAGTCTATACCTTAATCGTATTAAAATATTAATTTGATCTACTCTGCCTGGTCTTAAATTTTTAACATCCTCTAAGCCTCAAAAAAGTGACTTATTTATTCTGATCCAGGTTTGTTGTGTCCTAGAGGCCCAGGATATAAAAGTATTGGTGGTGAAACAAATTATCAACACCAAGTATCAAAGCCAAGGAAAAACTGGAAATGGGCTCACTTACTAGCAAGGTAGCCCTTGTTCCACACTCAGGAAGCTCTAGGTTCAGTCCCAGTACCACATGAACCCAGACCAGAATTCAAGGCCAGCCTGGGCTATGTGAGACCCTCTCTCAGGAAAAAAAAAAAAAAAGCCAAATGTTTTGCAGATTTTACGCTGTCAGAATTTATCTATCTCTAACTTGTTTTTTTTAAGTGTATGTGTATGATGTGCGTGCTGGTGTTCACAGAAGTCAGCAGAGGGTATCAAACTCCCTGAAGCTGGAGTTAGAGGTGATGAACTATCTCATGTAGGTGCTGAGAAGCCAACGTGGGTCCTCTACAGAATAAGTTACTACTCTCTAAACCATCTCTCCAGTTCTCCACCTGACTTATAAGGGGCTCTCTCCTGTGGTTTGTGTACACCTTACCTCCTCCAAATAGACAATTCACAGTAGGTTTAACTCTCAGTGACTTTTCCCTTTTATGGGGGTCTTATTCTTATCTCCCAATACCAGGGAAAGAATCTAAAAAACATAAAAATAGAAAAGTTTTAAGGGTATTCCTTCTTTGGGGTTCCTTTCACTCTGAAGTTCTCATTTAATAAATCTACATAAACTCAGGGGGGAAAGGGAGAGATGGAGGGGGAAGAGGGACAAAAAGAAAGGAAAAAGAGAAGGAAAGAGAGGAAAAGAAAGGGGGAGCGAGAGAGAGGAAGGGAGGGACGGAAGGAGAGAGAGAAGTGAAAAATCCATCACCTCTTAGCTTCTCAAGCCAAAACAACCAGAGACCTGAGGGTGGGTGCGACTACATTGCGCATGGGCAAAAGCTTCATGGAGTCTGCTTTTGGCGCGAAAAGTGCGTGTGGTGGGCGGGCCTCTGGACAGAACCGCCATTGATTGGACAGGTTTGGCGCGAAGTAGCTCAGCTCCTGCTCTGTTATTGGTTGGGGTGAGAAGGCGGGGCTAGCCGGAGGCGCGCGCGAAGCGGCAGCGCGGAAGGAGCTACGCGTGGAACCTGCGGCTGGGCCTTCCGTAGCTGCGGTGGTCTTTCCTCAGCAGTGCGTACTCTCAGCGCTGCCATGGACCTCGCAGCGGCCGCAGAGCCCGGCACCGGAAGCCAGCACCCGGAGGTGCGCGACGAGGTGGCCGAGAAATGCCAGAAGCTGTTCCTAGACTTCCTGGAAGAGTGAGTGACCTCCGGGGGCTCGCGGGCCGTGCGGAGACCTGGGTTCTGTGTTCTCGGGGAAGGGATGGGGCCCAGCCACGCCAGAATCCAAAGCCTCCTCGACTCCTTTCTCTATCGCAGTGCTCCCTTGCGTCGTACTGTGCTGCTTTCTCTGCGTTTCTGAGGCAGGGTCTCGAACTCGCTGTGTAGCCAAAGACGATTTTGAACTTGTGATCCTCCTGCCTCCACTTATCCTGTGCTGGAATGACAGATATGCACTGCCATGCCTGGTTGATGGGATGCCTGGAATGAAACCCAGCTCTTCCTGTTTTATTTCAGGGCTCACATCACAGCCCAGTGAGGACTGGGTTTGAGGGGAGGGCCGTTACCTCTTGGGTAGGGTTAAGCACACAGGCAGGAACCGGGAGCTTGCACTGCAAGGGAGCCTGGGCCACCTTGTGTTCTGACAGGAACCTATGGCCTCCAATACGGAGTGTAAACACCATGACTTACTTGGCTTACAAAATTCTTTTCTTTTCTCTTCTTTTCTTTTCCTTTCTTTTCATTTCTTCCTCCATTCCTTTCTTTCTTTTCTTAAGATTATGTCAGTATATAACAAAAACTTACTGTTTTGACCTTTTGGGAGTGTACAAATGCATCCTGAAGTGCATTCAACTTGTGCAACAATGATCCCTGTTTGAAACTCTTTCAACTCTACCTGTTAAATAGTTACAGCCTTTCCTAGCCTCCTGACAACTGCTACACTTATAACACTGAAGGTGCCTCAGATAAGTGTGTGTGGCTAATTTTGCTAGACATGCAGCTTATTGTGGTCAAGGGTCTTCTTTTTAAGGCAGAATAAAATGGTGTGGCACATGTATACTGGTTATGACATACTGCTGATCTATTCAGCATCCTTTTGGCTATACGGCTATCTTTTTAAATTCTGTTATAATTAAAACTGTAAGCAGGGCAGTGGTAGGCGGATCCTCAGAGTTCAAGGCCAGCCTTATCTACAGTGTGAGTTCCAGGACAGTCAGGGCTACACAGAAACCCCCAGTGTTGAAAAACAAAACAAATGAAAAACCCTCTAATTTAAATTCTATATTCCTACCTGTGTAATGTTCTTGGCAATCAGTACAGCTGCTCATCCTTCAAAATCCAAGTCTCCTTTTGATGAAAGTCTGTAAACCAGCAGTTCTCAACATGTTGGTCAGGACCCCTGGGGGCACATATCAGGTCCACATGCACATAATGATCCATAACAGCAGAAGTACAGTTGTGAAGTAGGAACGAAATGATTTTATGGTTGGGGTCACCACAACATGAGGAGCTGTATTAAAGGGTCACAGCAGATAATAAAAGTGCTTTTTCTTGGTAGCTAAGTGCTGGAGCTAAGCATATCAAGACTTAGTTTTTGAAATAACCAACTTCCTTTCACAGAGTAGCTTTGCTTTTGCTTACAGAATAGTCTAAATATTTCTTTTTTGTTTGTTTTTGTTTTTTGAGACAGGGCTTCTCAGTGTGTCCCCTCAAACTCAGAGATGGACCTGCCTCTGCCTCCCAAGCACTGGGGCTAACTGTGCACCACCACCACCCAGCTATGTCTAAATTTTCTATTACAGTTTCATTCTCTAAAACCACCCTCAGTCCCAGGGGTGGCTCAGCCATCTATTTTGGTTTTGTTGCTTGCTTGTTTTCTTAACATGTTAGGGAAGGAACCCAGAGCCTTACACATGCTCGACAAGCATTCTGCGCCTGAGCTGTATCTCCAGCATCTACCCTCTTTTATTTCTTTATTTGACAGACCTTACTGTGTTACGATAGCTGTGTGCTGGGATAAAGGAGTGTACCACTGCACCCAGCTACCTGGACCTTTTTTGCCTTTTTTAATTTTGAGAGAAAGTCTCTAAGTTGCCTAGTTGGTCCTTGAACTTCCAACTTTCCACCGTTAGCCTCAGTAACAAGGATTAACAAGCTCACATCATCAAGCCCAGCCACTCCTTTTCCATACATTTACCTTTTTCTTTTTAAAGATATATTTATTTCATGTATATGAATACACTGTCAGTGTCTTCAGATACACCAGAAGAGAGCATCAGATCCCATTACATATGAACTCAGGACCTCTGGACGAGCAGTCAGTGCTCTTAACCACTGAGCCATCTCCACATTTACCTTTTAATGACACCAACGCCACCTTTTACATCTGTGGATCTTTATTATAGCTATTCCTGTGGCATAATTGGCTTTTATTTCTGACACTTTTTGTCAATAGAAACATTATTTATTGTTTATGGGTCTTGTCTCCTAAGAATGCCAGCCCTGGGACAGAAATGACACTACCTTTTCTGTACTTTTAGATATTAGATGTAATACTTTATACTTGAGTGCTTCTTGCTATAGTTGGAAAAGAAGTTGATTTTGCCCCCATCCAAAATTCATGTGCTTTCATTTTCTTGAGATCTTTAATGGTGATACCTCATTTCTGTGTGGGGTGGTGTTTGTTTTGCTTGCTTGCTTTAAGTGTGTGTGTGTGTGTGTGTGTGTGTGTGTGTGTGTGTGTGTGTGATTAGAGATTAGACCTAAGACTAAGCAAGCACTAGCACTGAACTATGTTTCCAGACTTTTTATTCTGCTTAAATTATCACTAATGGAAATTTAATATTTGGATTTTAACTCTCTGATCTTAATTACACATAATAATAATTTTAAAAAACAATAATTTAAAAATAAATTAGAAAATGTTAAATCATCAGGGTGTGTGGTACTGGCACATACCTTTAATCCCAGTACTGGGAGGCTGAGGCAGGTGAATCTTTGAGTTTGGAATAGAGAAAGCTTCAGGATAGCCAGGGTTACATAAAGAAACTCTGACATGGAAGAAGGGGGAAAAGAGGAAAGAAAAAAAACTATTAAATCGGTTGAGGAGATGGTCCTGTGTTCCCAGCACCCACTTGGTAACTGCAGTTCCAGGAATACCTATTACCTTCTTCTGGCCTCAAGCACCACTACCCACTTGCACATGCATATATGAAGGTAAAATACTTATACACATAAAATCTAAAATTCTTTGTTTGTTTTGTTGTTTGTTTGTTTTGTTTGTTTTCTGTTTGGTTTTTCAAGACAGGGTTTCTCTGTGTAGTCCTGGCTGTCCTGGAACTAACTCTGTAGACCAGGCTGGCCTTGAACTCAGAAATCCACCTGCCTCTGCCTCCCAAGTGCTGGGATAAATCTAAAATTCTTAAGAAAGAAAATGTTAAATTAGTTAATTGAGGTGAGGGCTGGGGCTGATGGCTCAGTGGGTACTGCAACCCTGACAATTTTGAGTTCAGTCCCTAGGACTCATGGTAGAAGGAGAGAACCAACTTCCATAAGTTTTGTTTTGTTTTTCATTTATTTATTTTTATTTGGAGGCCTGAAAAGGGTGTCAGATCCCCTGGAGCTGGAATTACAATGATTGTGAGCTTCCTGTTATGAATGTTGGGAACAGAACTCAGATCCTGGAAGATCAACAAGCACTCATAGCAGCTGAGCCATCTCTCTAGTCCCTATAAGTTGTACTTTCACATCTGGGACACGGTATAAACACAAATAGAATAAATGCATAAATGTGTAAGCGTTCTACAATTCATTTTAAAGATATTCCCTTATCTACTTATCAGCAATTTTGTGAGATTAAGGTTAGAAAAGTCAGTAATTGACCCCAAGTCATGTAAATACTGAATGTGGACTTCTCTGTTCTTAAACTGGATGCTGATTAATCAATATACTAAGTTACCTAGTGTCCAGATTAATTTTTACTGCCTGCTACACTGTTTAATGTGACTTATATATTTCTGCAGGTTCCAGGGTAGTGATGGAGAAATTAAATACTTGCAGTTTGCAGAAGAGTTAATTCGTCCTGAGAGAAACACACTGGTTGTGAGTTTTGCAGACCTGGAACAATTTAACCAACAACTTTCTACCACCATTCAGGAAGAGTTCTATAGGTAAGAGTGTATTCATTTTTCGTTTGAATAGACATGAAGCCTGAGAAGCTAGCTCTATTCCCTGCATATTCCGTGTAAGGAAGAAGGGCAGCTGTCACAATGGCTTCCTTCCAAAGAGAGGCCTTTTGGTACAAGTGGTCCTACTGATGCAGGTCTAACTTCAACCTAGGCCTTTGTGGAACTTGGATTTCCTCGTGTGAGATATCAAAAAACAGTTGCTTTTATATTGCTTTCTCATTTGATCTGGTCTTCACCGATCCCATCTCTCCCCTGGAGTAGGTACTTAAAATAATTTATCTAGGTAAGTCCTAACTTTGCACCAAAGATACTGATTTTTCAGATGAGGTCTCATGGAGGCACTGCCCAGCTTGACCTTAAGCTCATGTTTAGAGTCTTGCCTCAGCTTCCTGTTTTGTTTTTTTTTTTTTT